CATTGTAAAGCATATTCCCAGCCATGACTCAAATCAACTTTCTCGAATTGGCAAATATTTCTGAACATGTTAGGACCAGATTACTAGTAGATATCAGCAGACTACTAGATCTGACTCCATGTTTTGCTTATTAGTCCTGTTATCAGACACATTTGAAAGATAAAAGCATACTGTTTATTAGGATGTTATATAAACAAAAGCTTGGTAAAGATTCCAGGTGAATTCTAAGCAGTTCAGTAAGTTCGGTATTACAATATTAATTCTAAAATTCAGTGTATCCAACTAGACAGATATTCAGTGTATCCTGGATGACTTCTGCCCAGAAGACTGACTAGATTCCACCCCTCCCTCCCCACTGCCCTGTCACCAACCTTTTTAAGGTTGAGAATTAAGAGTAATTCCCAACCTTAAAAAGGGACATAAAATTACTCATGCTCCCTCAGACACGTGATGAATATGCAGTTTCTTATTTTTCCTAATTCAATGCTCATGGAAATAGCATTCAAGAAATAAAATGAGTACTGAGTGAAATTAGTCAATCACAAAAGTACAAATATGTATGAAACAACTGTTGTAGAAAGTTAAGAAAAACTTTTCTTCATAAAAGAAACATTCTATAATGGCGACTTGGTGAGGGGGGTTTTATTCATGGGCTAGAGAGTAGACACTTGTTAACAAGGGTATTGGGAAGACAATATACAAGAGGGAGGTTGGCAGAGGAAACACGAAGGTAGCAGGAGATTTAGGAATGCAGTAATTAAAGGGAACAAAGATAAATAGTGTTAATTTGATGGTACTTGGAGGTAATAGTAATCATAATGAAGCAAAGTATGTGATTTGTTGAATGTAAACCTGATGATCTGCTCTGTAAACTTTCACTGAATTCACAGGAAAAAGTGAAAAAAAAAAGAAAAATCAAATAACATATTGTGTTAGACAAATCTTCTGCAAAAGACCTCTTTTAGTATTAAAAAGCAAAGCTGTCACTCTGAGGACTGAGGTGTACCTGACCCAAGTCATGGTATTTTCAGTCTCCTCATACGCAGTGTGAAAATTGGACAATAAATAAGGAAGATCCTAGATGAATCTATGCATTTGAATTATGGTATTGGCAAAGAATGTTGAAGGTACCATGGACTGAAGAACAAACAAGTGTCTCTTGGAAGAAGTACAGCACAAATGTTCCTTAGAAGCAAGAATGACTTCTGCCCAGAAGACTGACTAGATTCCACCCCTCCCTCCCCACTGCCCTGTCACCAACCTTTTTACATTGATGTCAGGATGAACCAACTCCTGTACATCCTGTACATTGTCTCTTGTACATTGATGTCAGGATGAACCAACTCCTGGAGCAGGGCATCATGCTTGGTAAAGTGGAGGGTCAGTGAAAAAGAGGAAAACTCCCAACCAGATGCAGTGACACAGTGGCTTAAATGTAACTACATTTGGAGGATGTCCCAGGATCAGGCAGTGTTTGATTTTGTTGTGCATAGCCTCACTGAGAATTGGAAATGACTTGGGATCCTGGTGTAATGTTGTAGGATAAGCCCTAGACTGCTAACCACAAAGTCAGAGGTTCAAACCCACCTGTTGCTGCTCCTCAGAGGCCCTATACAAGGTTGCTATTAGTCAGAAGCAACTCACTGGCACTTAGTAGCAATACAGCATCACAAATTACAAGATTTCAATCTCTTCTTGTTCAAACAGCCTCCTTATAGTTTAATGATTGTTTCTTCAAAGGTCAAATTCTTATTGGACTCAGTGTCTTTTGGTAACTGCTCATTCACTCAGAGACATCTCCCCACCTTTCCCTCTCTCTTAGTGGGCATTTGGATGTCTGAGAGAGAGGTGGAGATTTGAAGGGATCCCTGAATAGTGGGTTAAGCATTGGGCTGATAACCACAAGGTTGACAATTCAAACCCTCCTGCTGCTCCACCAGAGAAAGATAGGGCTGTCTGCTTTTGGAAAGATTTACAGTTTCAGAAATTCTATGGAGTACTCCTACTCTGTACAAATGTCATTTTAGGTACTGTCACAGGTGGAAAGAATCTTTTCTTTGGAATTCATTCAGTGAAACAGTGTTTGTATTCTTCTGATATGGCCATTAATATCACTGAGTCTCGTGGTCTCTTTGCTATGATCTGAGACCACTAGACTTAATCCTTGATATGCAAAGGAATTTTGGGGGGAAATTCTTTCATCTATTGGTTTTTATGCTTATTTATGCAAAATCCTATTTTGAATGTCAATATCATTATCTTTATATTGCTTCTATACCAACCCTAATATCCCTTTTGTCTTATATACCACTATCCTCAAACACACACACACACACACACACACACACACACACACACACACATCAATTGGTCAGATCATAGGAGAATTTCATATGTGTGGAAAGAAAAAAAATGATAAAAATGTGAATATTTTTATATATGTATGCATGTATTTACAATATGTTGCAAAACCAAGTAAAAGAAGTTTTGACTATATGTGATTTTGAGTCATTCTCTAGGAAGTCTTTAGACTCAATGGCACCTAATAACAATATGTTGTTGTTGTAAAGTGCCATCGAGTCGGTTCCGTCGCATAACGACCCTGTATAGGGTTTCCGAGGAGCATCTGGTAAGCTTGAACAGCTGACCTTTCAGTACAAACGGCTTTGCCGTCTGGCGCATTAACCCACAGCGCCACACCAGGACTCTAATAACAATATGACCCTGACTAAATGATTTTAGAAAACAAGACGTGGTCTCAGGGTTAGAAGCTGTGAGTGAGGTCATGGAACTAGCGGAACAACCTCTCTAAGCCACACTCTTCTCACTCAGTGAATACTAATGTGACCCTCGGTTGTGTGCCAAGCACTACAAAATGAGTGTAACAATAGTGAAAATGGTAGTAGCTGAGCTTTGCTTGTGAAGTACTCATTTACCTCACCAAAATCAAATGCAACTTGTACTTTTTTTTTCCCTAATTCTGTATAACAGACCAGTAAACTACAGTTTTGTTGTTGTTATTAAGTGTCGTAGAGTGGGTTTGACTCATAGAGACCCTGTATAGGATTTCTGAGGAGCAGTTGTGGGTTTGCTGCCTTTGTGGTTCACAGTCCAGTGCTGATCCGACAGCATCACACCAGAAATCCATATAACGATTGCTGTTGTTGTGAAGTGCAGTCAAGTCGGTTCCAACTCATAAAGATCCTGTATGGGGTTTCCGAGGAGCAGCTGGTGGGTTTGAACTGCTAACCATGTGTTTTGAAGTCCAATATAAAGAAGTTAAATAAATTGTCCAATATTTCTTGGGCTTTAGTGGTGAAACCACTGGTGGAGCCTAACAGTTGGATTTCCATTGTTGAGAAGATTTAATTTTATGTTTGTTTATGTGCCTATTTGGATTTAAATTGGTAAGGATCTCATGAAAATGTGAAAACGTTTAGGAAATTACTTAGTATATTATAAATATGTTATGCTCATTATTGCATTTATTGTTCATGCCTATGCCTTTTGCATTGACTGAATATTAAAAAAAAAAAAAAAAAAATCTTCGTGTTTCATTTCCCACCACTTAACCTATTTGAAAAGTCTTGATATATGCAATCACAAAATTGTTTTGTATGTCTTAGTGCTCCAAATAACTATGTTGTTGTTGTTATGTGCTGTGGAGTTGGTTCTGACTGATAGCGACCCTGTACAAGGTTTCCAAAGCTATAAATCTTTACGGGAGCAGAAAGCCTCATCTTTCTCCCACAGGACAGCTGGAAGTTTCGAACTGCTGACCCTGAGGTTAGCAGCCTGATTTGTAACCACTAAGCATTAGAGACATCTAGGTCGGCTGTTCAAAACCACCAGCCACTCCTTGGAAACCTTATGAGTTGGAACCGACTTGATGGCACTTAACAACATCTAATACCTTTATTTTTATATTATGAAATATTATGTAATAAACATCTATACTATATAGTCCTTATACTTTTCATGTCTTTATTATATCTGTAAGGAGCTCTGGTGGCACTGTGAGATAAACATTGGGCTGCGAGTTCAAACCCACTAGTTGCTCCAAGGAGAGAAAGCTGTCTGTTCTCATAAAGATGTACAGATTCAGAAACCTGAAAGGAGCAGTTACTTGAATCAGAACAGACTTGATGGCACTGTTATTGTTTCTTTCTTTTGTTGTTATATATGTGCATGCATGAAAAAGAATAAACCACTTTTTATAAAAGAAGATATTAAAGAATATCGAAGCACACTTTGTTTTGGTAATAATGTTCTCTAGTGTAGAAACAACTATGTATTTTACTGGCCAATTCAATTTTTAACATGCCAGTTTGTACTGTACCCAGCTGCCAACTAACATTCAAAATTAGAATTTTAAGCTTCCACTTTGAAAATCAAATTGCTCTTTGCAATATAGCACTGTTAATGTTTTAAGCGAGGACCACACACTCCGAGGATTTGGTTGGAGAACCTGAACTGTGGCTGCTACTTCCTATTCACTGACTCTGCTACTGCTACCTCTTTAATAATTGTCTTTGGCTCTCTATAAACCTGCAGCCAAAAAGGTATTTGAATTTTCTCCCTCTAGCACTTGCAAATCCGATTTTTATGTATAGCTATGTGCTCTTAGCTTTTGCTCTATCTACTACTTGTGCCTGGTTTCTAGTAGGCCTGTAACTAAGCCAGATCCGGCCTATGTAATGCTGTTTGTAATGAGAAATCTAAACAGGGAACGGCAGTGAGGCATGGCAGGAATGTGTTTCCATTGGAGAAGTCAGTATAGAGAAAAAGTATAAGCAAAGCCATGTCCAGAAGGCCTTTTCAGCTGGCCAAGACGGAAGACTAATGTTATTGTACAAAGGCTGTTACCCTGCCAGCCCTCCCTCACAGATTTGCTTTCTCTCTCCCTTCCTCTCTTCAATTCTCCCCTCCCCCTCCCTTCTCCTCTTCCCTCTCTTTCTCCTCCCTCTCTCATTCTTCGGGCTCTGGGACTGTTTGCTCAGGTGGACAGTGACACCATTTGGAATGAGCTGCACTCGTCCGGTGCTGCACGCATGGCTGTTGGCTGTGTCATCGAGCTGGCTTCCAAAGTGGCCTCAGGAGAGCTGAAGGTGAGGTCTGGGTTGCATTAAGTGTGGGAAATCCAGAGAAGAAGCTAAAACAGAGATGTTGTTGTTGGGGAATTGTGGGCAGTGTGGTGTGGTAATAAAAGGAAAAGGGTGGAGGGAAGGGGCAGAAAGATGGTCACAAAGGTGTGATAATAACTCATCTGTAGGTAGATCATAGCTGATCCTGCTCTTTGGGCCCTCTTCTCCCCAGGAAACTCTGTGGTTAGGGTCTTCTGGTGTGTTTTTAAAAGCATAGAGATTGTGAGTAAAGCTGTGGTCCAGGTTAAAAATACCCTTAGTATATACATCTCTGTCATGCTATCCTGGGATTCTCTTTTGAAGCAATTTGAAAAATATGATTACTGAGTAGTATGTATAAGTTCAAAATACCACCCAGAGAGAGAAGGGGGGAGAAAGGTAAATACCAGACGGGAAGAATTGAGAGGAAGAAGGAAATTGTTGATTAGGAGGGTAATGATCCAGAGTATGTTTTTCCATCAAAGAACTTCAAAAATGAACTATGCTTTATTGTTCTTTTCTTTTTACGGTCTCTTCTTTTCTACATCATATGAAAAGAACAATGTACAAACCCCAGTATCCCCCAGTCTAAACAATTTATAAAAAGCCAGCGACCTGACAGACGTTGACATTTTATTTGGTATTTTAACAGTGCTATTTAAAGGTATGCCATGTGTGGCTTGAATGCAGTTACCCCAATAAACTTGCTTGGTGCTAACATGACTTTTTAATACACTGGTTCACACACTTCATAATGCAATCTAAGTGGTGATTGATTTGGTATTTTTAGAAATTGTGGGGCTTCAGGGAAATATATCATGACCAACAACATATGTACTGTGAGTTTTGTTAATCTGAAATAAAATCTAATTAGGAATATTTTTCTTTGTGTCTAATGAATTTTTATTCAATTACACCTGATTCTTCCACTTGTGATTAAATATTTAGGATAGGAATGTGTACTGTATAAATGCATTGTCTGTCTCAGAAACCTTTGCTCTAGCTCTTAAAGTTGCTTTCTTCTTAAAGAAGCCAGAATTCACAGAAACATTTTGATAAAAAGCAGGCCAGATATATGTACGGAGTTCCACTATAGGATAAGCTCTGGAGTGCTAACTGAAAGGTCAGCAGTTCAAACCCACTAATCACTCCTTGGAAATCCTATACAAGGGCACTATGAGTCTAAACTGACTCGATAGCCCTTAACAGCAACATCTCTCTCTATATCTATCTATCTATCTATCTATCTATCTATCTATCTATCTATATGGAGCTCTGGTAGCGTAGTGGTTATGAATCAGGCTGCGAACCTTAAGGTCAGCGGTTTGAAACTACCAGCTGCTCCGCGGGAGAAAGATGAGGCTTTCTACTCCCGTAAAGATTTACACCCTTGGAAACCCTGTACAGGGTCACTATGAGTCGGAACCGACTCGATGGCACATAACAACAACAATATATACACTATGAGTCAGAGCCGACTTGACTGCACTTAGCATCTATATATATATATATATATATATATGTATATAGACATGTGTTTTCTGTGCTGTTAACACGATCAGCCTCAAAACATTAATTGCTCATCTTATAGGATTAAAGGGACTTTCAATGTGGGGCTTACAAGTCATTCTGTACCTTTGATAATATGAGACTAAAAAGTAGAAGAAATCCACTTTAAAGAGAGGTTGGGCCTGTGTCCCAATAAGACTTTAGGGATAGCTCTTCCTGAATCACTGAAGTCATTTGTAATACTGTAGTTAATCAACATTTTGAAAGAAGAATATTTGAGGGTCTTACTTTCAAAAGAATCCAAGTGACAGTAACTAGACCACAATATTATAATTTTTAAAAGATTATCCTGACATAGCCCCAGTTGACTATAGTTTTAATAAACTAGCTCACACACTTCATAATACAATCCTTGCATAATGAAAACTATTTTACTCTCATTGACAATTTTTGATCATTATAAATATGTAGACAATTTAATCAATAATTCAGAATCCTTTTCAAGTAGAAAGCCCACAAATTGCATACATCATTTTTTTTTTTTTTTCACACTGAGTGTAGAATTGACAAATGCAAGTATGAGGAGGGTTGAACAAATACCTAATTTTATTTTTAGGAGTTAACTATTTAAAAGAAAAAGAAAAAGAAACAACATGTAGAATGGACAAGCTGACCACCAGCTGTGCTAACATCGGCTATTTATGTAAAGAACATAAATTTAGACAAATTTTAGTTTAGCCTCTTCCACTTGAATACTATGTCATTTATGGTCAATCACTTAACTTCACTGGGCCTCAATTTTCTGTTCTGCAAAATGAACAAGCGGTAATTCATGATGTTGAAGGTTTCCCTTGGCATTCTGAGCTATTGTGCAAGTGAAAAGTGGATCAGATTCTTAATTATGTATACTACTTAAGCCCAAAGAATAGATATCCCAAAACTAATTGTAACTTCCTTTGGCAGACATTTCAGATTTTACAATATGCTTATCATTCTGATAGTCAAACCCAGCATACAAGTCCAAGACAAGCAGGGCCATCACAGAGGCACCAGTGTTGACAGGACAAGTCGAGACTGGACTCCTTAGTTTATAATAATTTCAACAAGGCTTTGTGAGTGCTATGTGGGAAGGACAGTACTCACAAATAATGTTGACCCACTGTGAAGAACTGAGGAACAAAGCCACATACATTTAGATAATCTTAGCCAACCAAAATTATGTCACTCTGTGTTTATCTGTCCCAGACGCTAAGACACTGAAGATGCATCCATTGATGGCCAAGAACATTATTACTCATGGCTTGTGAGTTCACTTAATTGAGTTCACAAGAAAGAAAATAGGAAAATTTATTCTAGAAACTTGGTAAGTGTTATGGATTTAATTGTGTCCCCCAAGGAGTTACATTGAAGTCCTAACACATAAGTCCATATCTGTATGGTGGTGGTGGTGATTATGTACTGTGGAGTCTGTTCCAACTCATAGCTACCCTAGATAGGGTTTCCAAGGCTGTAAGTCTTTACAGGAGCAGAAAGTCTCATCTTTCTCCTGTGGAACCTCTGGTAGTTTCAAACTGCTGACCTTGAATTTGGCAGCCTGACTCATCATAATCACTACGCTACTAGAGCTCCTTCCATATCTGCATAGGACTTTGGAAATGTCTGTTTCTTTGTTGTATTAATAAAGCCAAACTGGAGTAGAGTGAGCCTTAAACTTAATCACTTCTAAGTAATGTCTTAAAAAGATAAAGCCGATAACGGCACAAACATTGAGGAAACACAGATGCCATTTACAAGCAAGGAAAATCAAAGATTACAGGCAGATAAGGAGCTCTGGTAGCGTAGTGGCTACGAATCGGGCTGTGAACCTTAAGGTCAGCGGTTCGAAACTATATAAGGAGCTCTGGTAGCGTAGTGGCTACGAATCGGGCTGTGAACCTTAAGGTCAGCGGTTCGAAACTACCATCTGCTCCGCGGAAGAAAGATGAGGCTTTCTACTCCCGTAAAGATTTACACCCTCGGAAACCCTGTACAGGGTCGCTATGGGTCGAAACCAACTCGACGACACTTAACAACAACAACAACCAGAGACTAAGAGAGAGGTCCACATAAGAAAGCAACATGGCTAAGACCCTGATTTGGACCTTTAGCCTCCAACACTGAGAAAATGAATTTCTATTTTTAAAGACAGGTACTTGTGGTATATATGTTTTAAGAGTTGTTGTTGTTGTTAAGTGCCATTGAGTTGGTTTCGACCCATAGCAACCCTGTATAGGGTTTCTGAGGAGCAGCTGGTGAGCTTGAACCACCGACCTTGCAGTTCAAACGGCTTTGCAGTCTGGCGCATTAACCCACAGCACCACATAGGTAATTAAAACAGTAAATAATGTTAAAGATGTTAAAAGAGCACACTTTACCATTTTAATTATTTCTTTTCTTCACTGGCATTCAGTTTTCAAATACTCTACCTATTCTTTGGGTATATCAATAATTTAATTGTCCTACCAAAATACTTTTGTTTATGAGACACTAATTTTCATTGGAAAATAGAGACTAATTAAAAGCTTTATTTCAAATAGGGAAGGCCTGAATGAAATATAAACTCACAGATGGAGACAACTGGACAGAGGTCACTGAATTCATAAAGGATGTAGACTTTGGGGATGAGAGAGGCACACAAAAAAGGAAAATACCTAAAGCAAAATTGATAATCTGAAACATTTGCTTAATGCTGAACTTGTTATATCAACCAACTTAAGTCTTGACAAGTTCTATCCTTTCCTCACCTGGATAGACTGGTGAGATGATAGAATTAAGTCACAGGAGGTGGCCTTCATGCTGATGCCTAAATAGATGTATGCTGCAAGTACACTGGTGTATTTTGTATATATTCCGTGGAATCCATTGGAAGTTATGGGGGCTTCCATGCTTTTAAAGATATATAAAAAATATTTCTATATGTCCATACAAGTGGAAATTGCTTGAATCTTCACATGCCTGAATTGGTTATTTGTGAAACAAGAAGTGAAGGCCAAAGACAGATGTCTGAATGATTATTGCAAATATGTACCAACGTGCACACAGAGTCCCTTAGCAAAAAATGAAAAACTTACTGGTTTCAAACATTTAAGGAAATTTCTGTCAAATCATTAGATTACCACTATGCCCACCAAGAAAATATTTCAGTAGTAACACTCAATGTAGAATATTACTTTTTTAGAATTTGTTCATAAAAGTCACTAAATAAACAAAAAATAACAAAGGTAACAACATAAGATCCAGGACAGGGGGGAGGATTTGACTTTTACAGTTGCTATGTTATGGTATTTTAAATGTGCAATCTTAAAAAGAAAATACAAAATATGCAAAGAAACAGAAAAAAAAAAGCAGTGAATAGAAATGGTCCTAGAGGAAGCCAAACACTTTAACTAACTAGACAAAGTCTGTAAATCATATTTTAAATATGTTCAAGAAAATAA